AAAAAAAAAAAAAAAAAAAAAGAAAAAAAACGAAAAAAGCAAAAAAATTTTTGGGCGATTTTAATTGAAAACTATTGAATCAAAATAATTAAACAATTCCATTGGACTACAACAAGACCAACAAAAAGAAAGAATATACAAGAAGGTCAGCGATATCAAAAGAATACTTTTTTAAACAATTAGGTGAACAGTCCTCTTCCCCTAGCTCTCCTTTGTTTCCTCCCTCCCCTCCTAATGTACCACAAAACCTCATCAAAACAGTTCTTCCCGAGAGAAACACACATCTATATATATAATACATATAAACACTCAAACACACACACACACACACACACACAAACAAACATACAGACATTTTTTAGATGCAAAAAAAATTTTCTTTTTTTTTTCAAAGTTACTGACTTTCACTTCTGGACACTTTTTACAACGCTACAGCCTTATATAATCCTAACAGGTCGATATATTGCTCCTATCAAATTTTCCCTTATAATGTACAACAATAATGCCACCACTATGTTATTCAGTAATTTTGGTCATTCTATACCTGATTTTCCCACCCCCTCTCCTCCCCTCCCCCTCCCCCCGGCATCATACCACTGCATCCCCGTGAACACCTATCTGCACATATATCATCGTATTACTCAACAACGTCACCGACATCATCAACAGTTCTCTTCTTCACTGTATTGTTTTCAGCAAAAATAATCTTCCAAAACTTCACAGCTCCATTTTAACCACTCCATTTGAGAGAAAATATAATAGCTTCAGAGCTGTTATTTTCATTACAACCTGACAAAACGATATTTCTGGAACTATTCTAACATCCAACTTCTCCATTCCCGAATACCGTTATTCAGTGGGCACACATCCAACAACCTACCCTTTTCCTATCCAATTCTTTTTAATCAAAGATTTCATTCTGTTTTCATTCTTGTAACTGCGATCCAACAATTACTGGTGTTAACTGCTACCTTACAACAAAGACCTGTATCCAAACTTTCATTTCCGCTTAATTAACAAGACACATTCACACCTTTTCCTTTTTTTTAAATTCATAGTTACGTCATCATCTCATAAACTGTGGCAACTAATGAAAGATCACATGAGAGAACTTTCTCAAATATGAATAACAATGACAACAATATCCATAGTAACTAACGATGAAGAGCCATATTATCATTACTTTTGTAAAACTGCGTTAGAAAACAAATTTTCAGTTATTATACGCGTGCACAGTGAGATCATCAAACACACCAAAACTTGAGCACAGGAAACCATGAAATTATTTCACAGCACGTATTGAGTGACCACTAATATTTACCACCTCTTCAGCGATGACAACCAAGTGAACGACTCTACCTACGAGGCTTCACTTAAATACTCCTATTAGAAGCACTACGAGAAGGTTTAAGTAAATAAATCCACTTATAAATATAACTCACGTTAAAAAAAACCCAACATCTTTCATGGTTTCCATTTCCCTGCTAAAACAAAACAAGTTTTCCTAAAAATTGGACGTTTGAGAATAAAACACATTATTTACACGTTGACTACACAAGGAAAAATGATGACCAAACTTTTAAAAGCTATTTATAACCAACATTCGCATTTACAAACCTCCACTGCTACCCATACACAGCAAAAAGCGAAAGTTCATAATTAATATGGGAACAACGGAAACTTATTGTTCCAAGAACCCCGAGGTGAATTAACAATTAGGGAACTGCAAGAGAATTCACAAAGCTTGAGCGTGCATATCAACAGTAGAGACCACCAACTTTAAAGAGTCCAATTTCGGCTAGCTGATAAAGCTCCTTCATAACTGAAAGCAAATTAACAGTAAACCCAAGAACAGTTAAAAATACGCCAACGAATACAAAACAGAAACTCCAGATCACTGAGAAAAAATTATAGGAATATGCAAGATAAACTACTTCTTTAAACTCAGTAAAACACATTCAACAATTCAAACAACACTAAAAAAACAAACGACTTTTAATACTTTCAGGGGAGAAAAACTAATATTGCAAAAAGAACAAGCAGAGGAAAAAAACTAACAGTGAATTTAAACACTAGCAGGAATTTATTTATTCTTCCATTTTTTCATTGCCTTCTCCATTCGTCTGGTTGCATTGTACTTTACTTTCTACATTCTCCCGAGCATCCTCTCGCACAACCTCCATTTCTTCCGCAACATTCATGTTTTCAGAAGTATTTTCAGCAGCCAATTCAACTCCTGACATTTGCTCCTCAACTGGACAAAATATCCGTTCTTTTCCCGAGTTCTCATCTGCTTCAACATCGACTTCAACAGGTTTTTCTAACTAAATGGGAAATATGTTTTCCAATGCATTAATTCCAGCGCGAAAACGAAGGATAAAACTGACAGAATACCGTCGTGAAAGTAAAAAAAGTCACAAATTTAAACGTGCTTCACTTAAAAAAAATGAATGTATAAATAGTAATCCCTTACGCTTCACCAACACCTGCACACTCTATGAGACTCTGTATAAATACTAACAAACGATGAAGGGCAACAAAAATAAACTTTGACGAAACAGTCAATTTAATTAGCAGGCTCATCTTTCATACACTGATTTCCCCATTTTTTGCAACAACAAAAAGTGATTGGGATGAGAAGTTGGAAGGTAGGTTGGAACACAAATAACCGTTACTTGAGACTTACATTGCAAGAAGTAACGGAACCGTCTTTCAGATCCTCTTTTACAAAGGCGCATAAATTCATTGGTCTTGAGTCATCTATTACCATATCTTCCTTCTTAACTGCTATCGGAGACCCGTTTTCCTATATCTTTTAACGTAGTTACACGATATATCAAAACTAACAATCAAAGCATTTTTTAAAAATTCAGATATACATGAACCATTCCATGCCAAGTCGCACACTTTTTTCCCTTCATATCTCAAATCTTCTGTTTAAATTTTACTAATTAGTAGAGTCTATGCTATTATAAAAAAAGTCGAAAAAACCTGAAAATGTAAATTCCTCGCCAAGTTACACCCGCTCAAAGTTGCAAAATTTGCCAGCTTGCCACTTGACCTGCCTAACTTCACAAACTTGTAATTTAGCCTGTCCTTAACAAAATTTAATAGTTTTTCATTCATTAGACTTCTCACCTTTGAATTTTTAGAAGCATACTAATGTTTTAATTCTGATAGAAAATCACACAGACAGAGTAAAAGTAGTGTTTCAAACAAACGAAAAAAAACGTGTCTTTGAGTTTTTTTAAAAAGACACAGTTGGTGTAGAACTTTTTGCTCTGAAAATACCAAATTTTAATAATGGCGATGTTTTGGTACCGAGAGTTGAGCCAGAAAGGAATGAAAAGCTGGAAAAAAACCACCATTTTCACAGTAATCCCATGTATTTTACATGATGAAAAAAAGCCGCTTCTGAAAGCCGTAGATAGCTGCTATACAAATTCGGCGTGCTTTAAACGTTGAAAATGTGTTTGAAAAACTGTATTTTATTTCCAAATATTAAGAGATTCTAGTAAGAACAGGCTTAATTACAGGTCAGCAAAGGTAGGCCTGTCACGTGACAACCTGGCAAATTTTGCACCTTTGAAGGAATGTAACTTGGCAGGAAATTAACTTTTCCAGGTTCCTTTTCGGTTTTTTGTATAATAGCGTAGACTCTACTAATTAGCAAAAGTTCAAAAAGGTCCGAGATATGACAAGGTGTGCGATTTGGCATGAAATGCTCCATATATAACCAAAATTTTAATGGGTAAAAAAACAATTTTTCTAATATCAATAGAAACCATTGAATAATTTCTAAAAAATACCTTTACAAAAAAACTTTGTTCGATACCGCGTGGCCTATCATCGTCGTCTTCAAAATATTCGTCTACACCAGTAACTCTTTCTCCATACTCAGTAACTGTCGTCACTACATTAATATTTTTTTCCAAAGCACGCAGAAACTTATCCAATCGTTTGTAGTGACGGGAAGGTGTTGTGAGAAGCTCACATAATCTCAAAAAAAAAAAAAAAAAATCAATTTTTATATCAAGCTTTGTAAAACAACAAAAGTACCACTGACCAGCAACAAAAATTTTTTGTCAAAGAGACTTGTAAAAATACCGCTGGAATGTGAAAGGAGTGCCTTCAAATTGCGCTGCTTTCCTCAGAATAAACTCTCGTTGACTACACAGCTCTTCTTCTTCACCAGCACTAATGCTATTCTCAGACACGCCATCTGATTCATATTCTTTCATATCTAATATCGTTTGCTAAAAGTTCTTAACTGTTATAAGAAAAGCACAGTAGTTACCAGGAACTGCCCTATAAACCTAAAAAAAGAGGCTGAAATATAAAAGCAATTAAGAATAGAGATTGCCAAAACTACTCACATCAAGCTTCCAAAGAAATGCAGGACGTATTACTTCCCACTTGAACCAAGGCTTCCCTACTCTAGCTGCAAATTCAAAATATTTTTCAACGTCTTGGTTAGGACATTTCGAAAAACCAAAAGGAGGTCGTTTCACGCTCTTCTGAAAAGCTAAAGAATGCAAAAATCAGCGAATCTTAAGCGTTAAAGCCCTAAAGTTCAAAAAAACAGCAGTAATGAACCTTAACAACAAAACAATTTTTTGTTACCATCATCTTCTCACTCTCAAATTTTTCCGACTTATTTTATTGTCTTAAAATGGTAAACACTCAGTAAACCAAGTAAACCATAAATGTAATGTTTTC